TATTTTGAGCTGAAACGTTCAGAAAAGGTATTCGGACCTTTCTTCTCACGCATTCAACAACGCAAATTCTTAAATGAGTTAAGTAAACCCATTAAAACAAAACTAGCCTTCATTATTTTCCAGCGGCTCTACGTGTATATTTTGAGTAGAAACTTTTGTCCAAAATCTGGGATGTCTACTTTTATCTAGGTTCAATATCTTAACTAACCGACATGCCAATTAACACAAATCGCGGATACGGAACTACCAAAAATTCAAGTGGCGGAAAAGGTACCAAAATGATCACTTAACAGATACCTAACAAGTAGACATGTTTAATACGGCTTTGAAAACTTACGGCTTTAAATGACAACTTGGGTGGTTACGGAATCTCCCTTGAAATCATAGGAAAGCTAAAGTCCAAAACGAATGAATGTTTGTACGTGTCTACGGGTGTCTACAGAAAGCATGACGAGAGCTAATACCAGTTTTGTTATTAATAACAGTACTGCGTTTGTTCAGAAATTGGGTACAAAAATGTTTCTGGAAACACTATAAGTATTCCTGAAATCTTTTTCATTTTAATATACATACAATATGTGGTGGGGTTTTTTTTGTTTTTTTTTATTTCGTTTGATACAATTCTTTTAATTTTACTTTCCATCTACTAATACGTTTTCTTTCACAAATTAGTTCACGTTTAAACGGAGTGATAACTTAGGAATTCATACATGATATTCTTTACATCAGCAATAGGGTGTCGCAAAGCAAGAAACATCAATGTCCTGTAGAGTGACGTTACGATTTTCACAACTACTAATTTCGCATCTCGTTTATGGCTCATTGGTTGCCGTTTCGATTGTTCAGGAGTCCATTAAGATTAAAGGATCGCTAAATGAAATAGTTGCATATTTTCTAAGAATTCAAAACATAATTATTTCTATATCTAATTCTTAATACGTTGCCAAATCACTTCTATATATACTATTCAAAAAAAGTAGGGGATATTTGATTTTGGGGGCATAATACTAAAATATGCAAATGACTACGAAAAAAGTCACTGTAGAACCTAACAGAAGAAACATTTCCAGTTACATGTGACGCCCAAACGCACCAATAGCTACCGCATGGAATGCAGGTGATGCTTGGGATCATCATGGGGGTCCAACCCAAGATTTGCACGACTCTGACTTTGAATGTTACAGTCATTGTGGCATTGAATTCCAGGGTGGAAACATCAGTTTAATTGTTTTAGTGACCAGAAAATTTTTTTTTGATATGCGTCGGCTTACCCAAAATGAAAGGTTACGTGCCCTTGGCATGCTACAGATCGGCACAACACATGTTTCCCAGTCTGTCATAAGCAGGCTATGGTCCAGATACCGTGATACACAATCTGTACAGGACAGACCACGCTCAGGTCGACCAAGGGCGACAACTCAAGCCCAGGATCGATTTATCCGTACCTTGGCCTTGAGAAATCGTGTCATCACAGCAAATCAGATCAGCGCTCGTCTTCAAACAGACACTGGTGTGAGAGTGAGTGGCCAGACGATTCGGAATCGACTGCATAGGGGTCACCTTCGCGCCCGACGTCCTCGCGTGATCCCTTGTTTGAGAGATCATCACATTCAGGCAAGACGTCGTTGGTGTAGGGATCGTCAACACTGGGATAATCGACGCTGGAGCAATGTGATGTTTTCAGATGAGTCAAGGTTCACTGTTGATTTTTTGGACAGACGTAGGAGGGTGTGGCGTCGTCGAAACGAGCGCTTCCAAGACGTTAACGTCATCAGACATGATCGATTTGGGGGTGGTTCTGTTATGGTGTGGGGAGGCATCACTGTTGCTGGAAGAACGGCTTTACATGTTGTTGCAGGGCGTGTTACAGGCCAGTACTACCGGGACAACATCTTGGCAGTCCATGTTGTGCCGTTCGCACGACGTCATGGCCGCCGTTTCATCTTCCAGGATGACAACGCAAGATGTCACAGGGCCAGGATCGTTACAGGTTACCTCCAACAACAGAACATCACCACATTACCTTGGCCAGCACTGAGTCCCGACCTCTCCCCCATCGAGCATGTCTGGGACATGCTTGGACAGAGGTTACGTCAACGTCAACAACGTCCTGCCAATGTCCAAGAACTTGCTGCTGCGTTGCAACAGGAATGGGACAATCTGGACCAAAATGACCTTAGACGTCTCATTAGGAGTATGCCACGTCGGATCAATGCTTGTTTGGCAAACAGAGGAGGATTTACCCGTTACTGACTTGGTTGTGATGCTGTGGTAACTTTGCTGTTTGACCCCGGGTATCATTTTACCCTTATATTGACAACCGCAAACCCATTTTCCAAGCATTTCAGACCAAAGCAGAAGAAGGCAAATTTTTGATTCCGACACAATTAGATAACAGAATGACCTAAGAGCACTATCATTAGATTAATTTGAGAATAGCCAAAGTAATCTTCAGGTCTTTTTCTTTTTTCTTTATAGGCTTAGGCCCACCTTTTTTAATGAGCTTAGGCCCACCTGTCACGGACAGGTTGACAGGTGGGTCCTGTCCGGCACTGTTTGAAATAATTTCTACTCGCCGACGGATATTGGAAATTGTATTATTTATTTTCACTGGAAAACTGTCAAAGTCCGTGGTTAAACGATAACGATAATGATGCCTGGTTGAGAGAAACTATTTAAATCTGCACACGTGATAATAACACTGTAAAATCCAACGTTTGATTTAAAAAGAAAATGATATATTTACCAATTTCTGAACTGACACAAATGAATTATGGGATTTAGGTGTATTCTTTAACAAGGTGGGACTGGGTGTATAGATGTCATGTATTTTAAGGCTTTATTTTAACATATTTTAAACATATGACTTATAAAAAATGCAATTATCAAATGATAATTTATATTTGAAAAGAACAACAAGCGAGACTCTCCTAATCAAGCGGAACAATGTGATGAATAAATGCCAGCTGTTCCTATATCCACTTACATATATATAACATAAATGATATTATTTCCATAATAATCTGATTAACCCGTATATTATGCTTTATGAGTCGCATGTTCTAATTTAGGGATGATTAGGCACGTAATGTCCAATATTGAATGAAAAGGTAGTTTCAAAACATCCACAACGAAAAAATGCTACTGAACAATAAAAAGGTGGCATGAGTCACGTACAGAAATATTATTTATGGTTTTAGAATAGAAATTGGGCACGTACAGATTATATAACAAGACAGATTGTATAATGTCATTTAAAATATATATTATAATAATTGGAAGGTTTTATTACTTATTATGTTGATCGGACATCGTCGCGTCTATTGGAATAAAGTATATTAATGTAACTAGTTTTATAAGGAGTGTGATGATTACAGCGTCTAATAATTTATAACGGAAATAGTGATATACTTATTTATTTATTTTCATTCGTGTTATTTAGTGCAACGCTTGTCTCCGCCGACAATGAGGTGCGAAATAAAGTAAAGTTTACCGTTATATGATTTTGGTTATTATCATTAATAAAATCATAATTTCCAATTGATCAAGCTGAAATCACAAAATTAGGGATCGTGTGACTAGTGCATAATTATTCAGATTACACAGATTTATAAACCCAAATGATGGGCTGAAGAAGACCGGTATATGTCATGCAGTGTGCTATGAAGGAAATTTGGTCCGGACAGCAATTGAATTCCATCTTTCAAGGGCTCTTTCACAGGTACGTCAAGGTATACACGGGTAACATTCTCCGCCAACACCCGAATCCAACCTATGACCTCATAGTTAGTGAATCAGCTAATGAAAATAATATGGTCATCAGTTACTAAAGGTTTGCCCCCCCCCCTTCCCCAAATTTGTAGTGTGTATCCATACGAGTAAAAATCAATTGGTCAGATCGGGCACTGACAGCTAGGGCATGACGAGAGCTAATACCAGTTTTGTTATTAATAACAGTACTGCGTTTGTTCAGAAATTGGGTACAAAAATGTTTCTGGAAACACTATAAGTATTCCTGAAATCTTTTTCATTTTAAGCTTTATATATATATATATATATATATATATATATATATTGATACATGTAGCCATACAATATGTGGTGTTTTTTTTTTGTTTTTTTTTATTTCGTTTGATACAATTCTTTAAATTTTACTTTCCATCTACTAATACGTTTTCTTTCACAAATTAGTTCACGTTTAAACGGAGTGATAACTTAAGAATTCACACATGATATTCTTTACATCAGCAAAGGGGTGTCGCAAAGCAAGAAACATCAATGTCCTGTAGAGTGACGTTACGATTTTCACAACTACTAATTTCGCATCTCGTTTATGGCTCATTGGTTGCCGTTTCGATTGTTCAGGAAGAGTCCATTAAGATTAAAGGATCGCTAAATGAAATAGTTGCATATTTTCTAAGAATTCAAAACATAATTATTTCTATATCTAATTCTTAATACGTTGCCAAATCACTTCTATATATATACAATCATAGGAATCATTCTAGCACTTAAAAAAAATCATTCACATAAAAATTTGAAATCAGTGCCGGACTGGTGGCCCGTCGGCCCACCTGTCAGGTCATTAACCAAGGCCCACACAAGTACGCGCCGAAGGCGCGCGAACGTCTGCCCCCCCCCCCCCCGGAAAATATTGAAAATTGACAACCGCAAACCCATTTTCCAAGCAATGAGTGTATTCTGGGGATAACATCTAGTATATTTTGGCATTCGGACACACATATATATAGGGAGAGTACCAGGGACCGGGCCCATCCTTGCTGTCAAATAATTGCAACAAATGGGACTATAACAAAATTATTGAATCATTAAATAAATCTTATAGCAGTTTACAAAGTAGGTTTCTTAAGTAGACGTGAACTATCATAGAAATCCCTTATGTATTTTTCAAAGTTGCTAACTCTGGTAGATATTGGACACAACTACCAGTTAAATCATAAATAACTCTACAGTCTACTCTTGACGTCGACACAACTTGTGGCGTTTATAGTCAGTCTAATATTCTTTGTCAGTCAATACGCAGCTTTGAATGGATATACGAGGCTTGCGCTTTCTCACACTGCTCATAACGGATAACTAGAACTAACTAACTACCATGCAAAGCCATGGAAAGTTCTTCTAATTCATCTTTTGATATATTTGAAAATGGAACCTCTATTGTTAATGAAAGTGAATTTAATGAAGAGGAATATTTAAGTGCTTCACTTGGGGAGCGATATATTAGTACACCCGTTGTTGTGTTTTTAACTCTTATTTATGTTATAATATTTATAACTGGTGTTGTTGGAAATGTGTTTACCTGTATCGTGATAGCTAGAAACAAATGTATGCATACAACTACAAATTATTACCTTTTCAGTTTAGCTATATCTGATGTCTTAACTTTATTATTAGGTAAGAAGAAATATTTTAACTATTTTTTTTATAATTATTATTTTTAATAACTTTTTAATTTATTATTTCACCTTTTTTTGGGCACATTTATTATTTAAAATCAAACGATCAAGTTCACTTCATCGTTTTATTATCATATAACAATTTTCTTAAACCAAAGTAACTTACCTTACATAACATGACTTTATACTAAATACTTAGTAAGCCTATGTATCGAAAATTGTATATCTTTTCAAGCTTTAAAAACGTTATCATATCAGACGGCCTTCACTGTTGATCGTTTCGTCACCACATGCCCATTATCTAGATTTTATTAGCTTTTAGTTTTCTCCTTTATTGTAAATAGTTACTCATTAACTGTTATGCTATGCCGAAACAAACTACTGAAGTTTAGTATTTCGCAGAACGTTTTCGTAGATTTATGACTTTTTAATTACAAAACTGTTTTGATGTTTATAAATACAATGTTACAGGTAAAGATAAATCTTCGTAAACACTTCAGTTGAAGATTATGTTACGTTTGGTGTAGTTGCAACCTAACTATGAAACAACTAATTAATATTGCGATATTGAACATGAGTGAGCTCTTTTTAAAGCATGCTCTAAAATCTAGACATTGTCATTTTTGTTTTTCATTCAAATGAGCATATTTTTGTTTAAGAAATCCAGAAATATACTAGCGGGCTAATTAGCACTGTGGTATACCCCTGTTTGAACCAAAGCAGGCGGAGAAGGAAACCATAAATTCCGGTTCAAAATTTCAGAGTTAACCACTGGCGCTTGGGCGATTTTAATTTAAGTGCAGCACAGAATCTTTGGACCAGGGACTGGGTCCCGGAAGCTACCCATCTTCTTGTTCTTTTTGCGGCTGATGCTCTTCGAAACTGGGCATGCTTGCTACTTGGACAATTGCGCATCAATTGACGGATGGTGACTTTGCCTTCATGTTCGATTCCTGGTCCATAAAGTACTATCGTATTTGTTCTAAAGCCGTTTCTATTGAAATTTATATATAATTTGAGGAAAATTATAAGCGCATTGAGCAGATTTTTGTGAGAATTACTTTGATCCAACGCATACAGCTGCACACACGATATATTATTTTTTGTAGCCAATGAAACATTGGGCTGTTTGATGGACAACTCCTCCCAGTAAAAATGATGGATCTTGCTCTTAGATGGCGATTTTAAGGGTCCATGGCAACGACATGATAGCCAACAGACAAATCCCCCTCTCCATGCCACAGAATAAATGAGCGGTTGCAATGCAAGATACGCCCACATTTTGCAAGAGATGGATAGAGAACGAGCTAAAAGCAAATGCGATTTTTCGTACAACCGGAGACCATAATCCAGGAAGTTACCGTCCGATATCCTTGAAAATATCGAAAGGAACCCAGATCTTTGGGTTATAAACATGCATTTCAAGTTTCATCAAAATCGGATAACAATTGTGACATCTAGAGTGTCTACAAGCTAAAAACGTGATTTTTCGTACAATCAGGGGTCAAAATCCATGAAGTTACGGTCCGAAATACGCGAATATAGCAAGGAACCGAGACCTTTGGAAAATAAACCTATATTTCAAGTTTCGACAAAGTGGGTTAAAACTTGTGACATGTAGAATGTCCACAAACAAATTGTGGACGACTGTCCGGACGGACCGACGGACGTCCAGACGGACCGACGGACGTCCAGACGGACAGGGGCGACAACAATATACGCCCACATTTTTCATGTGGGCGTATAAAATACTCTATTTTAGTCTAAAAATGGACGATGTGGTGAATCGAGGTTCATTTCTTTCTGCGGTATTTGTTGTACTTTGTTTCTAATGTATATAAGAAATTCCTTATCACGGACCATAAAAAATAAGATAATTAAATGATAAGACAGAACACATAAACTGATATTAATTTGATAGTTTCTATGCATGAGGTGTCTCTCTTGGCGAGTCGATGATTTAGATGCATACAGAATGAAGCCAAACAATTTTTAGTTTACCAATTCCTTACCAATATTATTTTACTCGGTGTTTCTAAATGCAGTTGCAGTTTATCCATGCTTTACGCTCGCATTTACCTATGGTGATATCGTAGGTGTCTCCTAGGAGACCCGTCGGAATAGCATGTCGTCAGTGGGAGGCCAGTCCAGCAAAGGGTGGAAATGTGATAGCGAGTGGGCTTTAACACCCTATACTGATTTGCTCCGACTGGTTTAATGAAGGTGGACATAGACACGCCATACAGTGTGCTATATCGAATTTCAATTGTCAAGAGATCTTTTACGTACATGTCAATGTGTATACCGGACCTTGTTTTTTTTATCCTATCCGAATGACTATACGTTGTCCCTCTGGGGAAACGACGATGGAAAATCCCCATGAACTTTCTTGGTCAAAACTAGGATCGAACACGAGATAACGAGCCACAGTCTAGCCTCCTCGTCTACCTGTTTCGTCTCCATTTACTTGCTTAAAATGCTAAAGCGATTCTGTTTATGATGTACTTTTTGTAATTTCAAACTTGACAAAAGTACAACCATGTCAGTTAGGCAAAAATCCCCAATGATTGAGAAGTAGTCTCAAGTAAGTGTTTTAAAAAATATAAACATACAATCTCTTAAGATAGGCTTTAGAGGAATTGGAGAGCTTGTATCATGTTTCCTTTTACAAAATTAGCTCAACATGTCATTTTCAAGTCTTCTTTAAGAACAATCTCGAAAGAGTTTACCATGAAAGAAATGTTCTCATTGGCTGTTCAGATCTATCAAATGTAACTAATAGTCTCTTCTTATGCAGTACATACCTCTGATGAATGTTTTCTCTAAAAATCAGCCTCAAATAAAATCAGCCTTCTCTTCTTTAGATGTTCACCAGGCAGTTTCAATAATATGTTCAGGGGATTGCGCAAGCAAGTCGAAAAAATCGGCTGTCCGACATATATATTATATTGTATTCGTTAGTGGCCTTAAGAGAGCTTCTGGTTGCTCATTAGTTCGTTTGTGATAATTGTCATAGGGGAATAGGTTGTTGTGAGAGATAGTTTAAAAGCTGACAATTGCACGACTGTCGTTTTTGTACGATATTACGTCAATAGTAAATAACGAAATAACCTCATTTTCAAGTCAATTTACCGGTATTATGCAACTAACGTTTCTTTTGACGGTAATGTTTACATGTGGAGGTGAAAAATGTTAACGCGTAACGTTTTTGCGAATTAGCAAGTATAATTTCCGATATAATGATAATAAATTTCAGCATAAATGAAAAATATCTTATGGAGGAAATTGGTAGACTATGGCGAAAACAAGATATAAATGCTGGACTTTTCATTACATACGTTCTAAAGTTACTATTTAACTTACGATGTCGATATATAATTAGAAATTTTTACTAAAACTACATTGTTTCAAATCCCATCTCAGCAAATTAATAATCAACAGCTTGGATACATCAATGATACGATGTTTTTTCCAGTTTAATAGCTCAAGATCTTGATTTCAAATTGCTTGGTTGTCAAAATCGAATGCATTACGTTGAATTATTATGCACGTTAAAAGGACAACGATAAATATGCTTAGGACAGGAACAAATTTGTGCGCACAGTAATATTAGCAATAAAGTACATAGTGTATATTGTGGCCTGTTTAAAATTTATTTCATTTCATAATGACTGTGCAATGCAATACGGTATTCAATATTACAGTGCTATGGGCGTACCCTCTACGACATCAAAAAGAAAACAATGAATATTAATTAATGATGTCGAGGTGGAGCACACAGTTCATTTCCTTGAAACAAATTTAGTGTTTGGACAGGAATTGAGTTTAACGCTTGACCAAAACAATACTTCGGTCAATTTGATACTTAAATACGGCTATTGTTTCTATTGTCACGTGTATAATATAAAGTGCAGGCGGACCACACTACGTGCAAACTAAACCGAAAAGACAAACCTGCGGACAAGAAACAAAGTACACAGACATTGCAAGCTTTAACAACAAATATTAAATCAAGTGAATGGATTCGGGGGCCAGCCTAAAGCGCCCACTGCGCAGTCAACCCTGGGCCCATTAATGATACGGGCTTTACTCAAAATAAAAAAAACAAAGGAAAGACGCAATAATCCGACCCGTCTTGACGGTGGTCCTCTGCTGATTGACGTTTCTTGATGGCGATAGACTACCAACGGATGTCATGAGTTATAACGTTAAGCAATTAACAATAAGAAGCGTGATATGTCATATGGACACATTTTACCCTGGACACAGCGTTTCAGCTTAGTCTCCACTAAAATTGCAGGAAAGACATGAAATGAAGTTTAACCTGACACTTTTCTGCTCCAGTCGTTCGTATGAAAAGGGCCCACTCATATTTCAAATTCCAACAGCTCGATTTTTCGTCTCATACGAACGACTATACGTTGTACCTTGCCCTCCGTCCTACAAAGGGTGAACCACGCCTGAAAATCCCGATGAACTGTCTCGGCCAACATCGGGATCGAACGCCGGACTTTAGGTTAGCGAGCCAACGTCTTTTAAAATCGTTGATGTTGGAGCCACGGTGGCTAAGTGGGTAAGACGTGGCTCGATATCCTGGGGGTCGCGTGTTCGATCCCTAAATTGGCCGTCGAGGTTTCACCTTGTCAGTGGTGCAGGATGAAGGGCCTGACAAGGACAGCTATCTAGTCGTTAGCATGGGACGAAAAACCGAGGACCCGTGTATACATTGGCGTGCACGTAAAATATCCTTTGGCAGTTGGAATCCGGTATACGAGTAGGCTATAGTACCGCTCCCGGGCAGTTGGTTGTGGATATTAAAATAATATCGACTCAGTTCTTTCCAATACAACACATACATGTAATCTCATCTAAACTTAAAACCCTTGGAGACAGTATAACAACGGGATATCTAATTGAGGAGTGCACTCATAAAAAGAATTACAATTTTTGATTTATCTGTATAATTTGATAGATCTCTTCGAACAAGGTATTTATTAT